AGGAGGGGAAGTGAAGGTCGTTAGTGATCAGAGGAGGATCAATTAACCCTTTGAAGTCTGTGCAAAACGCTCCTCTCAGACGGACCTGGTGTCTCAGATACATGAGGAGTGTGCCTCAGAGGAACAAAGGCAGGAGAGATAAGTGTGCTGCTTCCTCTCCCCCACACACACACACACACACACACCTGAGAAGTGTGTCCTTTACAACAGGAAGAGGAACAAAACACCACCACAGATAAAGAAGGGGGAAAGCAGGAGCAAGTTCACAGAGACATGTCGAAAGTGTGCTGACGGGAAGAAACACAGGCGCTGACAGGTACTGTGCAAAATCACACCTGTAGAAAGAGTGTGTGTGTGTGTGTGTGTGTGACAGTAACACTCACCACGTTTCCTTGATCGTCTTGCGAGTTGGTGCCTAAAAAAGAAAGAGAAAAGTTAATGAAATAAATGTTAAGGGTTGTAAATAAACATTTGAACACACACACACAACACACACACACACACACACACACACACACACACACACACACACACACACACACACACACACACACACACACACACACACACACACACACACACACACACACCACACACACACACACACACCACACACACACACACACACACACACACACACACACACACACACACACACACACACACACACACACACACCACACACACACACACACACACACACCACACACACACACACACACACACACACACACACACACACACACACACACACACACACACACACACACACACACACCCACACACACACACATTAAATAAACGTATAATAAAAATAAATGGTCAAATATCTTCCAGCTGCAGCTTTAACACGATAAGGTTCTGCTCTCCTGTGGTCAACAGGTTGATCAATAATCACTTGTTGCAGCCCAAATATAAGACACACAAAAGACAACATGTTTTACTTTTCCTTACATGCAACTCACTTCAGCATTTCTCTAGTTTGATCACATTAATAAACACCTGCATGAAAGGTCAGAGAGGAGAGGCACAGAAAACACCTGGAACTATTATCAGTCAAACCCAGTGTTTCACAAACCTATCTGCAGGGGAACCAATCAGAAAGAGGCCGCTGTATTTGTTTTGTTTCCAGGTTATAATCTTCAAACAACTTTAAAGGATTAATCCACAAAGCCGAGGCATTCATAAATCCCAAATAACAAAAGAACAATAATCCCAATTCAGTTAATCCACATCGGAAATAATCCATGAAACGGACGAGGTGAGGAGATAAGGGTAGAAAGTAAACGTTAAAGTAAGAGGGAAGAATCCAACAAAAGAAAATGGGTGATATTTAACTTCCTAAGCATCCTAAGAAGTTTCTGAAAATAATCAATCATTAATTCCCAGTAATCCATTGATGTCAAATAAAAAGCAGTGAAATCCAAACGAGGCTTCCTTCGTCCAGGAAAACATAGCGACTTTAAAGGTCACTAAAAATCTAAATCCCCAAAACTCAATACAAGTCCTTAAAGTCCTCTTCACTGAAAAGCCAAACTGCAGGAAAAATGAGTCACTAGATTTTAAAACTCAAAGTTAAACTGCCTTCATGTATTTTCTGAACTGAATTAAGAGTCTCTCTGTAGTGTGACTCCTCGCTGACAGCTAGCCCCACCCCTTTGTGGGCGGGGCCTACACACAGGAAGCAGATGGGGATAGACCAATGAAAACACTTGTTTACAACATCACTGTGGAGACGGTTGGGAGGGGGCGGGGTCAAAGGATCTGTCAATCACATTTTGTTTCCCTGCAGCCAGAGGAGAAGTACTCAGATCTTGTACTTGAGTAAAAGTAGAAGTACTCAGATCTTGTTCTTGAGTAAAAGTACTCAGATATTGTACTTGAGTAAAAGTAGAAGTACTCAGATCTTGTACTTGAGTAAAAGTAGAAGTACTCAGGTCTTGTACTTGAGTAAAAGTAGAAGTACTCAGATCTTGTACTTAGTCAAAGTAGAAGTACTCAGATCTTGTACTTGAGTAAAAGTAGAAGTACTCAGGTCTTGTACTTGAGTCAAAGTAGAAGTACTCAGATCTTGTTCTTGAGTAAAAGTAGAAGTACTCAGGTCTTGTTCTTGAGTCAAAGTAGAAGTACTCAGGTCTTGTTCTTGAGTCAAAGTAGAAGTACTCAGGTCTTGTTCTTGAGTCAAAGTAGAAGTACTCAGGTCTTGTTCTTGAGTCAAAGTAGAAGTACTCAGATCTTGTACTTGAGTAAAAGTAGAAGTACTCAGGTCTTGTTCTTGAGTAAAAAGTAGAAGTACTCAGATCTTGTACTTGAGTAAAAGTAGAAGTACTCAGATCTTGTACTTCAGTAAAAGTAGAAGGACTCAGATGTTGTACTTGAGTAAAAGTAGAAGTACTCAGATCTTGTACTTGAGTAAAAGTAGAAGTACTCAGATCTTGTACTTAGTCAAAGTAGAAGTACTCAGATCTTGTACTTGAGTAAAAGTAGAAGTAATCAGATATTGTACTTGAGCAGAAGTACTCAGATCTTGTACTTGAGTAAAAGTAGAAGTACTCAGGTCTTGTACTTGAGTAAAAGTAGAAGTACTCAGATCTTGTTCTTGAGTAAAAGTAGAAGTACTCAGATCTTGTTCTTGAGTAAAAGTAGAAGTACTCAGATCTTGTTCTTGAGTAAAAGTAGAAGTACTCAGATCTTGTTCTTGAGTAAAAGTAGAAGTACTCAGATCTTGTTCTTGAGTAAAAGTAGAAGTACTCAGATCTTGTTCTTGAGTAAAAGTAGAAGTACTCAGATCTTGTTCTTGAGTAAAAGTAGAAGTACTCAGATCTTGTTCTTGAGTAAAAGTAGAAGTACTCAGATCTTGTTCTTGAGTAAAAGTAGAACTACTCAGATCTTGTTCTTGAGTAAAAGTAGAAGTACTCAGATCTTGTTCTTGAGTAAAAGTAGAAGTACTCAGATCAAAGCCACGCTCGCATTGCAGATGAGAAAGATGGACTTTGAATTGGAATAGATACAAAAATAATCATCCTCCCACTCGGAGTGAAAATTATATATTTTGGGCTTTTTTGCTTCAGCCATAATTGCGGTCTTGTGTGTGTGCAGACTGTCACTCCTGTTGCCACGGACAACGTCAGCGAACCAGCGCCCACCAGCCACGCCCCCACACATGGGGGCGTATATATTTTTTTATTCGTCCGTGACCACGACGCCATCTGCGATCGATTAACTTGTAGACAATGATCCCTCGCTCCCTTGCTCTGATCTCGCCTCCTTCTGGCCTGTTAAGTGGCCTGCCTCACACAGGGTGACTGGCTGTCCACATGATGTGGCCTGCTGACATGGCCACTGTCATACAGATCATAAATCAAAGCCCTTGATTGGTCTCTGTGTGTCATTCAAGCTCGGGATAACCTCAGCTCAGGTGAGGTAAGGACTCTCCGAGTGTTTAGATAGTTAACTTAGTCTAAGTTCTCAGTGGGTCTCAAACGGTGTGGTCACCATTTATGTAAACACATATTTCCATTAGAGAGGGTAGTGGTGGTCTAATGGAGAGTGAGGTGGGCTGAAGATCGGAAGGCTGTGAGTTCAAATCCCGCCAGGAACACCACCACTAGTGTGCCCTTGAGTAAGGCACTTAGCCCTTAGTTACTCCAGGGAGAATGTCCCTGTAATCGGTCATTATAAGTCGCTTTGGATAAAAGCGTCAGCTAAATGAAATGTAATGTGATTAGTAAAATATGCATGAATAAATAAATAAAAAGTTAACTAGGTGAAAAAAGGTAAGATACACTTTTAAAACTTGTTGAGAGAAAACTAGTCTTTGCTGCTGCCTCAAAGAGGAGCAGGGGGGAGAGGATGGAGAGGGGGGAGAGGAGGGAGACAGGAAAGGAGGGAGAGGGGGGAGAGGAGGGAGACAGGAGAGGCTGATTCAGGAGCACAGACACACTCACAACTATAAATGAACCAAAACTAAATTAATAAACAAGTTTCAGTGTTTTGTTCATATTGGAAATGGTATGTTATTGGTTATGGCCTTGATTTTATGATTATTGAAATGTATACAGTTCTGTTAAATATAGGTGTTTCCATAGATCTAGTCTCTTTATTTTCCCCTCAAAATGCACCAGATTGATGCATTTAACTCCAAAATAAAAAATAAAATCTTACCGGGGGGGCATGCCCTTGGACCCCCCTAGAGGATTTGAGGTCGACCCCCACTAAAAATCACATGGATAGGTTCCTAAATACATTAATAAATACATTTATTTTTTTAAATAGTAACCCATTTCCATATGTTCATGTGTGGGTAGTAGATTTAAACTATAGGGCTATCATTATGGACCCTGCCTGTACCTGTACCTGTACCTGTTCGCTCTGCCATCGCGTGAAGGGTCTGCTAACAAGCGACCAACAGAAAGGTTAATGTTGTTGCACGTCACCTCAACCCCCCCCCGCTACCACCACCCCCCAAAGTATATTTCAGATCTGTGGGAAACACTGGCAGTTAATGGACCAGCACCAGAGGCGTTCCCATACACACAGGCGTTGGAGCTGTTCTTCATGAAATCCCAGAAGGATGAAGTGCTCTGACAAACAGTGCCATCTTTGCGCAAAATGATTATACCGGAATGAAAAGTCAATAAATAATGTTGTTAAAACTTTTCTTTTTTTTTCGCGCACCCAGGGGGGCGTCTTGCCGTAATTTGACGCTCTTATTCAGCTCGGAACGCGCGGAACTCGAGCCGAGGGCACCCAAAAAAAATTGAGAAGATCGAGAGTTTTTATCGCTTGAAATGACGACAACGAAAAAGGACAAGGACATCCCTCTGTTGGGGGGGCAACATTTTGAATTGAATTTTCAAATCTCCCCCCCCCCAGTGAGTGGAACGATACAGACTTTTTGCAGTAAACACAGTATTATAAATACACAGTAAACACAGTATTATAAATACACAGTAAACACAGTATTATTAATACACAGTAAACACAGTATTATAAATACACAGTAAACGCAGTATGGAGGAAACACTCACCGAACAGGTAGATCATGCCCACGGCTCCTCCGACCCCCATTAAAGCCGCCAGTCTAAGAACTATCTTCTTAGCGTAGGCCGTGTTGTCATTCTGCTTCTTCTCCTGCTTCTGTTCTCCCTCCTTCTCCCCCTCACCAGGCTGGCCCAAAACAACAACAAGATATTAAAATATATTAATATTGTGTTTAGGAGATTTAGCCTGAAATGAGTGGTGATGAATACTACCCGATTACATCCTAATACTTAAAGGTGGGGTAGGTAATTGACTTCAGAAACACTTGTTATATTCCATGGAATGCTCTTAACATCCCGATAGCAAGTGGAAGCCGTGGCGCTGTAAAAAGCAACATCTCGTGCCCTCATTGGTCATGTGCGCGTTCGTGTGTGTTGGAGGGGCTCTGTAAGGAAGTCTGATTTCTTTGGCTGCGTACTTTCAAATTCTAGCGCACTCGAGCTGGTTTCTCCATTCTTACCTACCTTTGAGTCAAACACAGATCACTTATATTATGAATATATATAACTGTTTTGATTTAAATGGTGTGCAGGAGGACGCTGCCCTGGACAATAACAACAATTTAAAAACAGTGCACGCTACTAGCACTACCTCACAGGATTTATTTTACTTTTCATTTCAAGCTACTGCGCCAATTTTTTGTAATGTTTATACTACACTACGATTATATGTTTAGTAGATTGGTATATTAGAGAGTATTATCGTCTTTTCTGGATATTTCATAGTGTTTAGTGTGTGTGTGTGTGTGTGTGTGTGTGTGTGTGTGTGTGTGTGTGTGTGTGTCATGTATAAATCTGGGGATTTAGCCTGAAATGAGTGGTGATGAATACAACCCGATTACATCCTAATTCCTAAATCAAACACAGTTCAAGTCAAGACCAAATGTATGTTGAATATATTGAATTTTACAAATTAAATGCTGTTTCAAATGTATGTTTACTTGTTGCCTTTGTTTATGTAACACGGAGCTGCCGTGATGCAAGAAGAATATTACTTTTGGTCCGATGATATCAAGCATCACCTCATCATTGATAGTAGGGTTTTTTAATAATAATTGGTTTCCTTAAATAGTCATCTCTTGGTTATTTTGGGATTAACCTTTAACCTTTAACCTTTTGGTCTATAAATAGGTAAATACGAAAGATCCAATGAAAATGTCCCCAAGAATAGAGCGATGTCTTGAAAAAGGGCTAAAGTAGATGAAATATCACAATATGTTTGACCACAACACTGAAGGGTTGACTATTGAAGCTTTCAAAAAAAGGTAATCATCAAGATAATCATCATTAATGCATATAATCTGATTAATTGGGTAAACAATTAAGACTGTCAACTGTTATGCAACAGTGTGGGAACATATAAGGGGTTCACTTGTCTTATTTTGGGGTCATATATTAAACATACATCATTAAATATCTTAATTACACCGTTTCTTATGTTAAAATAGACATTACTGAAGGGAAGAAGAAGGTATCAGCTGATGACAAACTTCTGAACTGTGGTGCAAGTCATTGTTTGTGTCATTTATTTGACATGTTACCCAAATAATCTGTCTTTCAGTCACATGTGGTCAGTGTGCTGCAGATCTTTGGGTTTCCGAGTGGGTCTCATAAGAAGTAAAGGCGGGGAGGACAGGGGAGAAAAGGGGGTGGGGGTCTGTTATGACCTTCAAACCAAACAAACCTTGGCTGTCATCACAGTTTATCTAGCAGCTGCTGATTTACAGATAACATGGAGCTCTATCAAGGACAGATAGTTTAATAGTAGTGTCTTTGGGGAGCTAAAACTAGCCCTAATGATGTCAGTGAGCTATAGAGATAAGGCTAACATGATGCTAACTCTTACAGCTAACCAGTGTAAGACAGCTTTAATTTAACTCATTATTCTGTTGGTAAATGTAACACACAGTCACAAGTAAAACCTGTTAAACTAACGTGTCTCTAACATGTGTAGAGATACACCTGTAAAAACGCATGCTATTAAGATGCTAACCTGTTAGCAGCCCTAATCTCAGGTTCATTCATTCAGAAAACACGCAAAATGCAGTCGAATTATTACATTAATAGAGTTGGCATTTAATTGTGACAAATAACACAGAGTATTAAACCATTAAAGTTGGTCATGTGTTGAATATAAGCTACATATTAAGATGTAAACTAGCTTTTTAGCCTAACCTACAAGCTAGAAATGTCAGAGAAGTGGCTTCGATTTTATTTACACGGGCATCTCGTGTGGGCGGGGTTGCATTCGATGTAATGTTAACGCTATACCCGCCGGCCACGCCGGTAATCAAATCGAGCGCAAATAAGTAGGTTATCTCTCCCCACCTGACTCTGCTGCTGGAGCTTCGTCTGTAAAATAGCCTGAGCCAATCCGCCCGTAGCACTGCTATTCCCGGCTGGAGGCTTGTCCGTTGAGAGGGTCCGGACCAGGTCCAGCACAGCCGGGGAAGAGGCACCTTCTGCCCAGTTCCTGAGCCTCAGGAGGCCCCTGGTCGTCCGCAAACACATGGGGAACACAGCCGACATGTTGGAGGTTTCAGCTTCAGCACGGTGCCCGGCGGAATGTAATGTGAAAAGGACAAAGGCACCTGATTGGCTGCAGGAAGTTGGAGTGACAGGCAGGAGGAGGGTTCAGAGCAGCGATAGGCCACATAGGAGCAAGGGGAGGGCGGGCGCTATGGTGTCTTGACCAATCAGAAGCAAGTGTGAGTGTGACCTTCGATTGCGACATAAGACTGCCATGTTTGTTTGGGGCAAAATGACCCAAAGTCTGCTCAGTTATGTCACCTGTATAATAATTAGATTTTTAAAGTTAAAGAACTCTCCAACAAGACAACTTGAAATGTCATGGATATAATAACTTATGTTTATACCAATATTTAAGTCATAAAAAGGATGTTTGACAGTCTTTATATATATATTATACTATAAATATATTACAATATATTGTATTATCGGCCTACTACTGTAGCCTATGTTATACTCGAATGTAGTTTACATATTTAAATTATACTCTATTGTGTTATATTGCTGTAAAGTATGTAAATTATGCCACCTTATTTCATACTAATGTCATAATTCATCACCTGTATCTCCAAAACGTGTTCAAAAACCTTAGATATCGTGTCAACTCCAAGAAATTCAGCAATGTTGTATTATTTTAATTAACTTTATCCATACGAGACCTCTAAAACACATTTACAAAATGCAATCCAATAAAAAGGAACACATTTTTATGAAGAAATCTCTTTTTTTTAAAAGTGCTTTTTGGTAATGTTTTTCTTGTCATTCTCAGCTCCAGCAAATTGAGTGGAAACTAAATATACCCCACCTTGTATGAAGACATTAAAATGACTGTCTTTTGAATAATAATATGTATCTCCTGTTTTGTGCACAGTAACTTGTGTATTTGTTTATTAGGAGTTTAGCAGAATACCATTACTGTGTGTGCACTGCCCTCAAGTGACCAAAGACAACAACTGCATCCATTTCAGAAAACAAATATAGCATTACAACTATATTTGATTTTGATATAACAACAATTAAAAGTGAATCTTAACAGCCGAAGAAAATAGCAAATGATACCAAAACATGAGTATGACTAAAGAAGCCAAATAAAAGTTAGCCGCGTAATATTATTGATTATTCTTTAAGATAAGATATAACTTAATAAACCCCAAAATAAATGATTCCTTCAGAGATTGCTCGAAAATCACCAACACAGCATCAGAAAGGAAAACAATAGTGTCGAAGTGTACAATGAGTTATATACTGTGTACATGAGCAGCAGTGTGTTTAGGCATTAAACATTGCATAAAGTACAGTCTTAATAAAATCCCTAAATAAACAGCACATTTTAAAATATAAACATTTCATTAGAGTCACAATAAAGGTGAGCGAAATGTCGTAGAAATAGGAAACTGATAGAAAGTAATAATGATCACAATATTTACAGTATTATTTACACATACAAATAATTATGATGTTTTGCCACATGTGCATTTACCTCTCCTGGTGAAGTGCAAGGCTGCAGTGGGTTTAACGTATCTTTGCCTTGACAAATATTCGATGCACTCACACACTAAGACTGAATATCATGTTCTATGAGAAGAGAGTGCTGGAAATGGTTGGGTGTGCTTGTGTAATTATGGCAGGGGGTGATTATGTGGGATGGGGTCATGGGGAACACTCAAAGATCTTTATTGAGGTAGCCTACATTATTCTTTTTATTTTGTATTTTTCTAAAGGCGTTCTTTTGGCCGGAGAGGGCCTTTTATCAGTTATAGTATTAAAGTTGAAAAGCGGGCAATGATTAAAAGTTCATCCATTCCAGGATTTGAACCGGAGGATCTCGCCTCATGCGGGCTGCCGGCTCTACCCATGGGCTATCTATTCTTTAAACTATTTAACTTTTGTTTTAATACTGATAATTGTCTTTTTGTTCACAACTTCTCCACATGTTGAAGTGTTTCCCGAGCCAGAACGACCTATCTTTCCTCCTGGCTTGCTCTAATGATCCAATTAAAAAAACAACTCAACAGCGACAACGCAAACTACGACAACAACCCACACATTGCGCATTGTTTAGAGCGGTTATAAAGGGTTGAAGCCAGGGCTGGTCCTAGACTTTTGGGACCTTGTGGCTGCGGGGCCCTAAGCGGCCGCTTAATGGGTCGCGCTCAAATTTGAAACTGTTCCAACCTGTCACCTGTCAGAATCGAGACGAGGCAGTGATTGGACAGTCAAGTGATTCCTTCAGGCAATGAAGCAGTTGCTGCTTCGGACGTCAGAGGTCACGTGATTTGAAGCAAGCTTCGAAGCGCGGAATAGGAAGTCCAGGTTTGAAGCACACATCGAAGCTTCAGGGTGTTTCTCAATGTCGAGTAAAGCTGCTCCAGAGCCACGATTTCAAGCATACTACGTCATCGAGTGCCGCCGAAGGACTGTTCCAATGTCCAGCATACTTGGAATTCTACCGAGCCCGGCGTACTTCGTAGCGAGAAATGTTGAGGCTGCACATGTGTAGACTCCGCGGTCTTAAAATCCCCACAATGCTTTGCGCACGGACCAATTTCCTCAAATCTGTGGCGGAAATTGTAAGGCGGGGCTTCTCATATGACGCAAACCTGCACACTTGCTCGCCTGTTCCACTCTTCGTTTTCCGAATGCCAGGAAGGATTCTTGCCTCGCTTCTGAAGCAAGACGCTCGGAAGACATGTGCTACCAAGCAAGCGTACTCGACACTGAGAAACACCCTCAGTGTCAAACTGCCATCACTATCGGGAGGTCTGCTACTCCTATACTGTAGATAGTCAGGCAGTGGTGGTTCTAGATCACTTTGAGTGGGGGGGCCAGGCTGGGGCCAGTTATTTTCTGAGGGGGGCCCAATAAATACAGAACGAAAAAGACAAAGACAGTATGAAGTAATTGTGCATAAGAAAACAATGCAATACAGTTATTGGTATTTGTTTCATTACACATATTTATTTCAGATACTTATAGTTACAGTGTTTACGCTCTAATGCAGGGGTCTCCAACCTTTTTTAGGATGAGAGCTACTTTCAAAATATAAAACAAGTCGTGAGCTACTTTTACTCATCTTTTGTTGTTTTTTGCAGTGTATATATTTAGCACTTTTTAACATTATGATATGCTACCTTTACCCTCTGTGTGCCGTTTGGGTCTGTGGGACCCGTTTGCAGTGTTTACATGTATGCAATTTAATTATTTTAACCTGCTTTATTTGGGGGGTGGACCTCACATCCTCTAGGGGGGTCCTCACATCCTCTAGGGGGGTCCTCACATCCTCTAGGGGGGTCCTCACATCCTCTAGGGGGGTCCTCACCTCGGGAAGATTTTTTTTTTAATGTTGAAGTGAAATGCATCCACACTTCTATACATTTTTAACAAGGAGTGAATGATATGAAATCAAATGTTGGCAGTGCTAAACATTGCCAGATCAAAACAAATGTTCTTTACAATCTCCAGAAGATGTTGGTCGGGAGGGATGATGGTCTGTTTTCTAAAACGCTTCCTAGCACGTGAAGACCAAGCTGCCCATCACACTAAAGCTTTGTAAACATTTCATTGAGACACCACATTACCACATATAATTCCCAGCTTGTTCAAAATGAAGATGAACATTAGGCAAAACAGAGCAAAAGCTTGTGTGGATATATCGTATCAAACATCATGTATTCATTTCAGGCAGGGAGACTTGTTGCTTTGTGTCTCGTGTTTCTTTTCATTCACAACTCATCGTCGCTCTGACTTGCTCCTCTGCTGCCCTCCAGTGGCTACAAGGCCCAACAGGTACTTTGACATTACAGCATGTAGCTCCAAAGCACACAAGTGTTTCCTTCTGAAAACGCACTTGCACTTTACTAAATCTCTAAACATGGCACAGGAACACAAATATAAACAATATACAATACAATCAGGAAGATGGTACAATACGAATGCTCTGATAACAGTGAGCAGAGATGTGTTTTGATGTGTGGGCATAATGTACAGGGGAACAGTCAAACGACTGCCACAAGGCCTTTCTATGGCCCTGAATAGGAACAGACCACAGCTCTGATTTAGGAGATCTTGCTGAGCAACAATTGCTGAATAGGTTTAACAGAAAGCATCTTTCAAACGAGACTCTCAGAATAAAGAGAAATGATGCCTCATGTTCAAACATTCTGCACTCCAGACTGACTCTTTTGACTTTCTTAATGTCACTCCAGCAAAGCCTTGCACCCTGATGCTAAATGGCTACTAAGCTACATTTGAAACATTCAGCACTTTTCTCTAACTTAGAGGCTGCACTGTCTGCTGCTCAGCAACAGTTCAGGAGACTGGCTTCAAAGGGGAGATGTGCTGTCAAAGTGTCTGAAGAATGCATTGTTTCCTTGTTAACAAAGGGAACTATTATGCTGCATATATCACAAACAGGACTTTCATACACAGTGAGTGTCCATCTGTGTCTTGTGGCCAAAGGCACGTTAACAGAGTAACAGGTGAGCAGTGACCTGGTTCAATAAGATGTCATATCTCCGTTGCTAAACACAAACCAAGCCAGATGCACGAACTGAGTGATAAGAATAATAATGGAAATCATTCCATGTGTGATCCAAAATTGCCAGTTGGGAAGTTGGTGTGGACAGTCTTCATTTCCATCATTGTTGGGCTCTCCTGAACTCCAAGAGACAAAGAGAATGAACCCTAACTTGCTCCTGATTGCATGGCGGTCAGTGTGAGTGTGAACCTTGTTCTCCCTTAGCAGGTGCATGCACTATATGAACGTGTGTATCCTGCTGTTCAGCTGGACTTATGTCAGAGTCATTTGAGGGCTCACGAGAGTGGAACAGTGCTATATAAATGCTGCCAATTCACCATATACACTATTTCTGTCTCCTTCCCTCCTTCCTCTCCATGACCTTTGAACTGAAGCTGATCCTCTAGTTGTGGGTTATTTGGGGAGTTTAAACTGTAACACTGTCGTCCAGGGTGTGGTCCGTTTGCATTAGTCAGCAATGCACAGAAGGATTGTGGGCACTTTGCTTTCACCCGGT